GTGTGTGTGTGTTTGCATGTGTATGTGTTTAAGGAAGCTTCATCATTCGGGCTTTTACACATCGCGATCAGATACAGAAATACCTCATAAACTTTGATTTGAGAGCGTCCGATGATCTCATTTTATTTTGATGAACATTAACCACATGAACAATGCCTTATCTTGGATTGAATGTAATGGCATTTATCTGTGAAAGAGATGGCTTTACTCATTCAAAGTTTCACTCGGAATAGAGGCAGCTTCAAACCAACTTAACAAACTCACACCCGCCAACCATCAAACCTACCAAGGTGATGTTGGACCATTGTCCGACTACTGGGAAGGGTTTACAAAGGGCCTAGGGTATCGACACATATGGCATCTAGAAAAAAAAAAAAAAACACTTCAGACTTGTCATTGTATTGTGATCACATATTTCTGTTGTGACTATGTAGCGAGCTATCCAAGGTTTCCTTCTGCTGGAGTTGGACTGTATGAGACCAAGCCAGACCTAGCAGTGCGACTGTATATAACATTGGTGTTGACTGTATTTAATAATGTTCATGACTGTTATCTTCTTCTATAATATTCTATACTATGGGTAACTGTTTTGTGGCTTCACTGGCCTGCTGCGTGGGGCTGGCAAACGTTTGGCTAACGTTGAAGAAACATTCAGATGGACTACGTGCACTGCGTCTATATGCACTTTGATTTATCAGGGAAATTTTATTAATGTTTTGTAAATGTTTCATATGACACTTAATGTGCCATTCCAGTTTTTACATCATCATGGAAATTATGTATTTTATTTAAACAGCCCATATAATTTATGTACTTCATGTTTTTTTTCAATCGATAAACAGATTGACTGGTTGATTTCCAAGTAATGAAGTGTTTTACCAAAGTGACTGTGAACTTGTAACTTTCGATACAGTTGAATTATTTTTCTTAAGAAAAGAATATATCTATATATTGAGCAGGGGGGGGCGTACATCTCATTGTTTCAGTTACTGTCATTCTCAACAGCAAAGTTGTATCAATAAAAATGTTTTAAAAAGTGTGATCTTTCTCTCACCAGGAATGTTCACTGGCTAGATTATTTGTCAGAGAGAATGTCAAACATTGCCAGAAGAACACAGTTATTTTTACTGGCATGGTACAAAAAGGGTACAAGTCAAGTAGTAGAGGATTCAAATTGAAAAATGATGCGCACCTGAGGGAAAGGAAACACAAAGCTGCATGAGGAAGTGTAAAAAAAAAAATCGGATGTTTTAGATGAAAAATGATGAAACAACACAAGACTGGCGACCCTTCTTTTTCCATTTCAGTTGCTCTGGACTAATCTCATGACTTCTCTTGATGTTTGGGTTTTTCTCCTCTTCCTTCCTGCATCCTCTGCTAATGGTCTGGCTTTACTACTGTACTCTGCACGGTGTGGAACCAACACACACACTCACATACACGTATGCATGTACTTTATGTATGAACAAACATGCACACAAAGACTAACGCTAATGTAAAGACATACAGTATATCACAGCAATCAGACACACACACACCTCTTCATAGTCTCTACTCCTGGCTGTGCCCAGTCTCAGCTCTCTGTTCTCTCCTTTACAGGCCAGCGTTGTCATGGAGACCGCTCAATGTTCTGTCGTATGGAGGTGCTGAAGCGCTACTGCTCTCTACCGGACTTCCAGCGCATGTGCTGCAAGTCCTGCAGCAATGTCACCATCACAGAGCTTCTATCCAACTCCACCTCCAGATCCACCCCCATCACCTCCATCCGGCCCAGTGTAACAGCTCTTCCACCCACCAGCACCTTTAGCTCTGGCTTCACCACCATCCAACCCACCACAGCTGTCATTGCCTCCATTTCAGCTTCTACTATCAATGCCAGGACCACCACACATCTTCCTACCTTCACCACTGCTGCTCTTCATTCCACCCCTTCCACACTAAGTGCTACACACATTATCACCACTCCAGCTGCCACCAGTGCTCCTGTCCTCCCCACTACCTTTTCCATGGCAACCACTTCAGTTATTAAAACCTCTCCCAGTGTTACTGGTCGTCCCCTCCCTCTGCCTGCCCCAGACATAAACGAGAGCACAGATCTACAGTTACAGAGCACTACAAATAGTCCAACAACATCTGGTATGATAACTACTGTACACCTTCCAGCAACTACCCGTCCAACTATGACAAATTCAACAGGAAGCAGTACAAAAACCCTGCTAAAATCCAAGCCCAAAAAGAATATTCCGCCAAAGAAAAAGCCCAAAAAGGTGATTCCACCGAAGCTCAATCCAAAAAAGAATACTGCGCTAAAAAATACAACAAGAAAGGATGTTCCACCAAAGATCAATCCCAAAAAAAAAGCAAACACTACTCCCAAAAAGACTAGTCCGCCAAACACTACTCCCAAAAAGACTACTCCGGCAAAAAACACTCCCAAAAAGACTACTCCGGCAAAAACCACTCCCAAAAAGACTACTCCGGCAAAAAATACTCCCAAAAAGACTACTCCGGCAAAAACCACTCCCAAAAAGACTACTACAGCTAAAAATACTCCCAAAAAGACTACTCCAGCTAAAAATACTCCCAAAAAGACTACTCCAGCTAAAAAGACTCCCCAAAAGACTCCCCCTATAAAGACCACTCTTAAAAAGACTACTCCTGAGAAAAAAAACAAACCCACACCGAAAAAGGAGGCTCCACCAAAGGCCAATCCCAAAAAGAACACTCATCCAAATGCAAAAGTTACAAAGCAAACACAAACAAAGACAAATCCTCAAAAGAAACCAAAACCAGGGCCCAAAAATGCCACAAACACTCAGGCAAAAAAGATTAAGAAAACACTTACAACATCATTATATTATACTACAACTCCCACTCCATATACAAGTCCAGAACAACTGAGAGAGCCCTTTTCTTCCACTATCTCATCCAGCACTAGTGTATATGGGACTGCTGCAGGCATGCCTTTCCCAGAGTCCAGAATCAATGTCACATACATCAGTAACAACACAGCAACTACAGATGAAACCCCACTGTGGTATCATGATACTTTAGCCACAACGCCCACCACTTCTGATGATCTTGTAGCTCCAACTGGAACCGTTCATTTTGAAGATGTTAACATGCATAGTGGAACTAGGCCATATAGTGATGGCACAATGACGAGCAGCGGTGATGTCACAGTAACCAGTGGGACCATTCTAAGTGGCGATGACATAACAGTGTCCTACAGCAATGTGGGAGTCATCAGTGACACCATGGTGCTGGACGACGGTCTCACCATGGTGATCCCGACCATCAACAGTGAGGACATGACAGACCTTGCTTCCTCACCCTGGCTGGACCTGTCTGAGTACATCCCCATGAGCATCTCAGTTCCCACGCCGACCTCAGACCCCGCCACAGCCTCACCTCCTGCAACAGCCTCACCTCCTGCCACCGTCACTCCGACAACAGAAAAACCAGCCATCACAACCATCACCACCTCTACTGTAGGACCTCAGCGAAGACCAGAGACCAGTGAGAATAACTCCATCGATGTAATATACAACAGGATCATCGGCGTGGACAACGATATCTCCCAGAACAATCTGATCCCAAAGCGTCGGGTCAACCTCCGAGAGAGAACCAGGAACAAACGCATTCAGGAGCTTCTGGAGGAGAAGCGGAACTTTCTCCTCAGGATGAAGAGAGGCCATGCAGTATGATGGACCAAGCATTCTCATTTCTCTTATAGAGATGAATGTTTTTATTTTACAGACTTTTGTAAGTCCCTGTTTAAGCCCCTCTGACCCGCCATGATGCTTTCTATCAGGCCTTTCCACAAAAAAAACAAGTACAAAGTCTATGTCATATCACTATCATGACAATCAGGACTGTTGCAGAGAGAGAATATCATGGCCAAATGTTTGAACAGTTGCTTTGAATAAAGAAAAGCCCTTTAGAGCACAGACTGGTGCGGATTTGAAGCAAATCGCCTCGCCTGTGTAAACACAATAATGAGAAACAGAAGGGATGAAAAGTGTGCATCCAGTTTGACCAGCACTTTACAAAGCCAAGCTTCTATCCCCCAAACCACCCACAGTCTTGTTTGAGGATTCAATAATGATGTAGATAAGGCGTAATGTAGTTTGTAAAATCGTATTATCCCTACTGGCACTTATGGAGCAACAAAATCTACCACCTACAATCCAAATCCACATCTCCATATTATATTACAGCCCAGGACTGCAGCTTATTTCCCCACAAACACATGTTAATACCTCTCAGCTCCCAAGACAAGATAAAAATGTCTCCTTTTTAAGTGGCCAGCACTCTAAATACCCTATACACACTGCAGATTGGAGCTTCTGGAGGCATGGAAGCTATATGGTAATGTTATACAATCAGAAAGTCAAAGTTTCCTTTTGGTTTAATTAAATTGTGGAAGTTTACACTGCTTGGACTGTGTTGCCTTTTCCAAAGCAAACGTCTGTCTGACTGTACGGCATCTCTCATCTCTCAGGAAGTTATGATACAGAATGGAAGACTGGCGAGGGACAAACACTTGGTGCTTCCTGAATTGTGATGATATATTTTAATATCTCATTAAGCCAGGTGAAAAAACAGAATAACTGAACAGAAACATTTAATTGCATTTTTCTTTTTCTTTTTTTAACAGTGGGTCAAATATGGTGCTTTTTTTTATCAGTGTTGCTATAAGCAATACCATTCATTTATGTACAAAAAAAACAAAAATATAATAAATAAAATAAACAAGCCTGTTTGTATTAACTGTATCCAAGGACACTCTTTGAGGGCCAGTTTATTTTGTTTTCTAAAAGTTTTATTATTGGTACATCTCTAACTTGCAGCAGCTGCAAAAGTACCTATGGATCTTTCTGTACGATATCTGTACATATGAAAAAGAACTTAATGTTTAATATTTATTAAAGTTTAAGTGCCTTTGGTATTTTGCAGACTGTCAGTGTTGTGTGACTTTTGTTCCAGTTAGAGTTGTCATGCTGTCCTTCTTTATCTTTTTGGTGCACCACGTGTTATGTCACTCAATCAATCCTGATAAAAAGAAATGTAGGTCACAGCAACTGTGAGCCTCACTCTCACAGCATCAGTTCTAACCCAGTGATATAAAAATTAACAGCACGACTCAGTTTGAGTCAGTCTATCATCTAATTATCAACAGCATGCTTACAAGCTTTTATTAAGTCTATATTTAGCTCCCAATTGCACAGTAGTACAATATCTGACACATAGGGGGAGACATAGAACTTGTATTCATGTTCACTGGCTTCATGTTTGTGCTTATGTAAGCCACAAACCTTTTTATGGCCTTATTTTACCTTGACAGATTTAGAATATCAGATTCATAGCATGACTGTATTTCAATTGATGTCATTTCCAAAATAAAATGTCACTGATTGTTAAAAGTGAGTCCAGTAAAGATATGCTCAGTCACTTAATTGTTGATGGAGCAGCTCCAGCACGAGTCAGGACAAAATATCTGACTTCAGTAAGGTCGTTCTCACCTGTGGAAAGATTTGGACCAGGAAAGGACTTGCCTAAATCCATTTCATGGGAAATGCATACAATAGTGATTTGTTCACACTGAGGTCTGGATACTGCTTCTGAAGCAGCATGTAGCTATTGATTCATATTTGTTTTAATATAATGTTTCTTTAATTTGAGCACTGAGGGATTCCATTCACCTCTTTTTTTGTGTTGGGGTTGGAAGATATTCAAAATCTTTGCAAATAAACACAAACTGCATGGTTAGATATGCTTGGGGTAAGAGGGAAAATGTGTGTGTGTGTGTTTGTGCGGTTCTGTTTTGGGTGAACTGACCCTTTATATGAGCCCCAGGATAGTCTATTTTTATGAGCAGAAATCATTCGTAAACACATTCAGTGCGATTTCCTGCTCTTGCTCCAAGATGAGGCTCAGCATCTTTGCATGTGGTTATACTCACAGATCAATTTGTGAAAAATGTTGAGTCACTCCATTGGCCTATTGACAGTAAAACATCGAGAGAAAAACACACGAGGATCATCAATTTGTGATTTCCTAGATATGCAACACTTGATATTTACCCATAACTGTTTACATCTTTCATAGGCCAATCAGTTGTTTTTTTTAAGTTGGTTGTTTTCCAACACTGGCCACAACTGACCTCTGTAACGTGTCCTTACCGATCTTGTTACAGTCATTAAAGGTTCCACTGTGTCTCTCAATACCTCTAAACAACATGACTGGCAACGGAATATTAGATTACTCATAAATTCTTGTCAGGAACGGTTTGCAGAAAATTAGGACTGCATGGTCAATAATGATAACTATCAGTTTGCATTTTTGACCCTGGGGGGGGGGAACAAAAAGTGTAGTGTACTCCAAATAATACTGGAAAAGAAATGACTAAGGTCTTAACATTTGCACCGACAAAAGTTCAGCTGATACTTGGGGGAAAACTGTCTAATATAGAGAGGGGTATTTGTATAGTGTAGGCCAGGGGACAATATTCAATATTTGCTGACATTTGAGTCAAGTGCTCAGCTTGTTAATTTATTCAGACTAATTATGTTGGATTAGAATGATACATAAATGAAAAGGACATTTTGAAAGTTGTACATAGCTCAAAGCAAAGTCATAAAAATACACAAGTAGAGAAATATGCATGGGATTTATTCTTAGTGTGATATTATCATAAACAATCTTTTTCTGGTCTTGTGAGATAAATTGGATCCTCGTCTTATGAAATCAGGTTTGTCTTGTTTACTTCTTAAGACCCTGATGCAACTGGTTTCTCCTGACTAATTTTGGATTACTTACCCCTTGTGCTTCACACTAATAATCACAGAAGGTGTCAATAAAAAAGTACAATAAGAGAGTACATCAGTCTAATGAAATCCACTAGCCCTGCAATCAGTGCCGCCAAGGTGAATCTCTATTGCTGAGGCTGTGAGAAAAAGTGCTGAACCAATTATGTTGATTTTTTTGGGCAATACTTTGCAGTTTTGTTGCAATGGATAAATTTAAATGTATTGCCATGTGATTGTGTTTACTGTAACGACATCATATTGTAGCATGCTCATCCACTTTGATTTAATTTTTTTGCTAAAAATATTTCAAAACAACTTGTTCTTGAGGAAACTCCCCTCTCTGCCTTTCAGAGGATGACCATTTCTCAGAATCCCTCTGGCAGATGGCAGCTCAGTTATGAAAATCAATAACAGGGCTCCACAATCAAAGCCTTTCCATTTATCCATCCTTCAACTCAGAGTGTCTACCTCTCTCTATACCCACTGAAGCTTTTATCAGCCTTAAAACATAAGCATCCTCATGTATCAATCTAATTATTCTTGAACCCATAAGTGGAGGAGAACAAGAGATTTGAGACCATGAGAAGAGGCACACTGAACAGGACTTATTCCTCCTCTTTTGCCTTTTCTTATAAAAATGTATTATATAATATTTCTGAAATTATTGTGTATATATATATATATATCTTCCCCCTAATTTTTTGGTACTGGGATAAACTGCTCAAACATTATCACTGCATTCTGTTGTAAGAAATGGAATTTGATAGTTGGAAGAGTATTAGTAAATTGATTTCATGGCAGGTACAGAACAACAGGCCTCTTTCACAACAGACATTTTAATATGTGAGAGTAGGAGTAAATAATAAAATGAATGATGGATGAAATTCATTTAGCATTACATTTTCAGGCTCATAGTATTGTGCATGCTGGCTCACTGTCACACACACTGGGATACTTTAATAGTCATTATTATTATTAATATTAATTTGTATTAATAATTATTAGTAACACCTATGCTTTTCCTGCTCTGGCAAGTCAAAATGTCAACAATTGTTAATGGTTGGCATATGGAAACCGTCCTCACTTTAAATGTAATTGTCCAAGAAACTGACTTTACAGTGGCTAATATACATAAACTCATCAGTGTTAGTAGGCTCTGGGTTGGTGTTCAGCTGAGAGCCATTAAAAAGCAACTCAGCCCGTCCTTTAATATGCCTGCTGATAAGACAGCTATTTCCCTTTTAACAATGCCAGCATAACTGGTGTTTAAGCTTGTGTTTGTTGTTTCTTTCATGAATGTACATCCCGACGTTTTATTTAAGACTCCAAGGTCTGATGTTGTGCCAGATGTTTGTCATTAGCAGAATGCACACTGATGAATGCAGTCAGTGTGGTCCCTGTGATTCTGTCGAATGTATAACTGAACGACGACACGTGCCGTGGTGTGCATGCGTGTGTGTCTTAGAGGCAAATTTAGTTCCTTGTGACTAGTCCATTAGAGATCCATAAAAAGTCAGGAATCTTTTTTCATAGGTTGGATGCAAAGAAAACGTGACTCATCTGACTCATCAGAGGTCCTGCTGTCCCCGACTGACAGACACACACACACACACACACACACACACACACAAACGCTCACATGCAAACAGTCCATTAAAGCCCCAGACACAGGGCAGCTTGCTGAAGGGTCTGAAGCAGGATGTTCCTGTTTATAAACCCTCTGGTGAGCAGTCCTGTGATCCTACACAAAAAAATACCATGTAAAATATTGATAATGAATCACATCATAAATATATTCAAATACACATTTTTAGTTGTCTAATAAAAATATCCTTGTTGAAATGAATTATTACAAAGGTTATGCTTTTGGTTACAACCTCGTGACTAAATGACCACAGTGGTCTGAAGCCTGAATCGCACAAAATGTCATATGCCCTCGAAACCACTTACGCCATAAGTGTCAGAGAAACAAGCTTCTCAATGGAAAGAAAATCAATTCCGTTTTAAACAGTAGTCAAAATCTGAGCTGTGTAAATAAAAAGCTTTGCATTCATCCAACCACCTGTCTGCCCCAGTTTTTATTATCAAATCTGTCACAAATAACAGCCAATTCTACCACAAAGCTGCCCCGTGGATAGTCTATGCAACTGTCTCTTTACTCCTGCCCCAAATCCTCAAAAATAGATTCTAGAATTTGTCCTGTTTGATACTAGCTGAAATGCTTGTTTGGGGGTAAATTATTTGCTTTATTAATTGCTTTTAAATGCGTTCTTTCCCCTAAATTTCTTAATGGGACCCAAGTCTTAGTTTACATGAACTGGAGTCTAGAGGGCCAACATTACTTCAGTCGCCTACATAATAACAGTTACAACAATTACAGGGGGTGACTGTATTCACTTATAGTCAGTCATTTCTAGAAATAGCATGTCTTGAAAAACTGAAACAAACAAAAAACCTCTATCTCCTTCCCTGCCTCTGTTTTTCTGTTTTGCTTTTCCCTGTCTCCTCTTTCTCTCTCACTCTCATCACCCCATTCTCTCTATCCATTTAGTCTCTCTCTCTTTCTTTCTCTTCCCTCTTTCTCTGCTTCTGTTTTTCTCTCTCCATCAATACAGTCGGCCAATGACAGTGCTGGGGCTGAGGAAATGGATGGTGTGTCTATTTTTAGAACCAGGGAAGGAGGGCAAACCAAAAGTAAGCTGGGGAGAGAAAGGGAGGGAGGGAGGGAGGAGGAATATGAGGAGAAGATAAATCTGCATTCTACTGCTGCCTCTGGTCAGAGTCAGTTGGAGCCACAGAGTGTGCTCAAGGAGAAGCAGCATCCCTGGTTGGAGACACAGCATCATAAATTAAAAACATATATTCAGCTGCAAAAAGGCTGCAGACTGATATTTGAGATTGGAAGAGCAGAGAAAATAAGAAAAGACCAGCTGGACTTGACAAAGACTAAGGTAAGTGGGAAAGCAAATTGTTCCAAAAAACCTTGCATAATTACTGAAAATGCATGAGGTGGAAATACACAGGGTGCCTATTCTGTGCTTCACCCCAGAGCTGCTGCCGTGGAACCATTTTTAGCTGCTGTATACTGAAGGTGTGGTCTAAATTTAGCAATGGCTACACCTTGGAAGAAACTGGGAGAGGCTGGCATTTTGGTTTGGCTTGCACTATTTTTGGCATGGAGGTTGGGATGAAAATATATTGTGGGCTACTTTCAGGGTTATAACAATATGGGGTTACATAAGAAAACATAAGCTGACACATTCTGTGGCTCTACATGACTGAGGTGCCTTTTAAAATAGTAATCTATTTATGCTGCCTCTTGCTGCTCCTTGCTGGGATTGTTTGTATGTTGGGCTGTTTGCACTGCCACTCCAAAATAAGCAGGGGATATGGAAGAGGTGAGTCAGGAGGAGGAGAGGGAGGCTTGTATGTGAATTAACAATTATAATAATTATACAGTCATGGACAAAATTAGATGCTTGTGTTTTGAACTGCTACCGGCTACTAACAGTTATTTATCATGGGAACAATGTCCACATCTAAAATTATGTCATCAGAAAAAACAACACACAAAGGACTGAAAACAAACAGATCACACATCAAAATATGTGTTTTTGTCTGCTATTGGATACACAATAGAGTGCAAGAACATGATGTTACATCTTCAGTTATAAATCTCAGAAACGCTGTTGAGTGAATACATGTTTTCTTGGGTGGATAGAGAGCACAGATGTGCTGATAAATAATACAGCAGAACCTGACAGCAAATACCTATATTGCACCTGATCAAATCACATAATCTTTTCAATTTGAGCACTAACTAACTATCAGCAGTTCATGGTCCACTGTAATTACCACATCCACTGTGTTTAAATGGGCTTTTGCAAGAATAACCTGAAAAGATAATGTGAATTTACTGTAAAGCTAAAGACAAATCAGTAGGAAATGACTTTCTTTGCTCACACACACACACACACATATTTTAACTCTAAACATGACCTTCCTCCTGTTCTTTCTCTCAGCCATGCGGCCGCGGTCCAGACTGCTATCCAAGAAAAGACTCCTGCTGCCCACAATCAGAGAGGGCACAGAGGAGACGGTGAAGGATTTGAATGAGGCCAACACACTTCACATTGCTGGCCACGGCCAGGCTGTCTCCTCAGAAGACTACCTCCTCTCCATCTGCCACCTAGCCCACCCTACCTTCCCCACCAGGGAGGTTTCCCCCAATAACATCAACACACGGCAGCTGGATGCTGTTCACCAGAGGCTGCGTCTGTCACGGCTCAGTGGGACGCCATCAAGCACCTTTGAATTCACCCCCACAGAGGAGGCACATGCTATTGATATGCAGCAGGGAGAAGGGAAACAACTGGATGATGAGTTCATGTTTGGCAACTCTGACCCCCTGGAATATCTTTACGGACACCAGAATGACCTCTCAGGAGGTGTGAGGAGGGCATTTGTTGAGGGAAGGTTTATAAGGCAACGTGGGAGCATTTGGGAAGGTCAGGCTCGCTCCAGAGCTCAGAGCATCCCCCGTGCTTTAAGTCCACGCCAACACAAGAGCAGTTGCCCCGACTTACACACCAGCACAAACACTCCTATTGCAATCACCTCCCCTAAACACAGCTTGTGCAGGTTGGAGGCCAGGGGAGGAAGCCCAGCAGACAGAGAGGCAGAGGGGGTAAGACAGAATCCAACCGTCAAACCATCCCTCATCTCTCAGTGGATCTCTGACTGCAGGTCAGCGTGGAGGGAGGCACATGTGCGAGCCTGCATGCTGCCCGCCATTGCTGAGATACAGGGTGCAAATGGACAGGCATTGTAATAGAATGATATCCCTAAGTAAAGTATCCCAATCTTGTCAGTGCATGACACATTGACCTTAGGAGATATGTAGCTGTGTATTATGCATATATATATATATATATATATAAAGGATATGATTAAATACACATTTAATCATACAGAGGCAAATAAATATTGCCACGATTGTCCATCTGTATTGTTATATCAATGTCACTATTTACTACCTATGCTTGATGTATGCTGATGATCATACAATATCATAAAAACAGACAAATCTGCAAAATCTTTTTTTACCTTCCAGTGTTTTGTGAACTAAGTCTGAATCAATTAAAAAATTTTTTGATACTCTCTATAAAACTGCCTGATTTCTTTTCTATGTGCTATGATCAGTGTTTTCTTGCATGTGTAAATCCTTGGAAACTGAACTCCACTCTCAGCTCTGCTGGTACAGGGCGCTGGAGTTTCTATGGTAACTGTCGTGGGATCCTGCTCTGGTAAACAGTGTGGAGAAATACAGGCTGAGAGGAGATGACACCGCTGAACCTAAACATGCAAGACTGCATGGACTGCACGTTTGCTGTAGTGGTGCGACTACATTGTCTGTCACAATCATAAGCAGGTAAACTGTAGGATAATGAGCTGACTTGTGAAGTAACTTATTCACATGAAAACATTTCAATATTACAAAGAGCAAACCATTCAGAATTTAGTTGTAGAAAGAAAAAGTATTGGCTGTGATTAATAAGAACTGTTTTTATCTGAGTATAAGGTTAACCAGACAACGCACTTCAAATACATAAAGCAACCACTGGATGTAGTTTTGACTCTTAAACACTAGAGGGCAGGCTTATGTCATTCACTGCTTTACATAATGACATTTTGTAATCTCAAATTAAGCCATGACAGGTGACAAAATACATATTTTATTGAAAACTGGCACATCAGTGGTCATGGTAAAAGTGTCAGTTTATCAAAATAACTATAAAAAAAATATCCATGCAATTAGTCCTGGTTTTATTTTTATACATCTTCATGAAGGTAAATCAAATTTTGTTTGTGCTGATTAAAAGCTCAAAAGCTGATGCTGCTGCTGCTTGCTGTTTCAAATATAAATGTTATGTTCTATGAGCATCAAGACAGATATCACAAAACCTGCAAGGCCAAAACAAACTCCAAGATTCAGCCAAAACTACCAGACAAAGTTGTTGTAATAAACCACAATTGTTATTTAAAACGACTATTGAGAAGCTGATTAGTAAACACTAAGACGTGGAAATAAAGTGGAGGAAACGTCAGAATGAAGGGGGGAAACATACACCGCACTGATGGTTCACCACCTTCACTGTCACAGGAACATAGTCGTTCAGGGGCTGGAAGTTCTCGAACACTCTCTGTTTCTTTTCACACTTATCTCAGCATACCCCATTGAAAGGTGAGGTCTATTTTTACCAGTCAGACAGTTAGTCAAGACAGTTTTTGCCACATCAGTATACATTGTACATTCAGACATTTTTAGACATTTTTCTGCAGGTTGTTTCAGGCAAACAAAGCAACTGTCTTATTCTTGGATGGCTCCCCTTGCGAGGTTCATTACTGTTACTTTTCTGCCTCTGAGGCAACAAAAACCCCATTGTTATTTGTAAAACACAATTCTTACCTTCAGTTATAATGTATTTGAAAATCAACTTAAAAAAATAATAATATGGGACTTTCAACAAATAAAGAACCGTCTTGACTGTCCTGTCAGGGGAATCAACCACACAAAAGGAACTGTTTCTTTAAACTGTCAAATGAAACTAATGTATACCCTTTTGACCTTCACCATCAACTCTCTGAGAGAAACTCTGCTCCCTTTACACAACAACCTGAGGCAATGGGTCACTTAAGGAACAATGCAGAGTTGTTTATGTATGACGAAACTCCACAAGTCTAGAGAAGAGTCCACTTTACTTATCTGTATAAAATAATATACAGGCTGGTCTCAGTTTGTGTAGACATTAATGCAATACTCCTGTTTCTCAGAAATGTCCTGACCCCTAGTGGAAACCACTGGACTAAACTACTTAACTGAAGTAGTTAAACTATCTCTGGCAGATACGGCAATAAAATGCTACTTTCAAATTGATGCATCAGTATTAACAGCTAACAATACTTTGACTTAAACAGGAAGTTGGAGTAGGTAGGAGTTGAATACAAGACTTTTACTGGAGTAATTTAACATTGTTGTATTATTGAAGTTAAGAATCTGAGTACTTCTTCCACAACTGATTTTGTGTATGTTTTCAGTCTAGCTTTTGCACTATAACTGTATTTCATCATAGAGTTACTGATAATCATAGAAATCACTTTTAAACCGAATTGAGAAGTGCAACTACACCAGGATGTATACCCCACGTTGGTAGAGGAAGAGACTCTGCTGACGCTATTAGTTCCTGTCGGTTCATACACATGGTCACATTTTGTGGTGTGGGGTTTTGGTGAAGAGCTGAACTGTTCACGAAAAGGAAACATGAATTATTAAAGATATTTATGGTTGGTAATCCCCCATATACCCAAACCCACACAGCCAATAGGGCAAATGCAAAAAAAAATACTATTTTCCATCTACAGTGCTGGTCATATGTACACTGGCACTGAAAGCTGGACCGCAGTGTAACCTTTTTTTGTCCCCGTGCCTGTCAGAGTGTAAGAAGGAACAAGCTGTACTCTACTGACGTGAGCTGGTGCACTCCACCATCCCCAATAAGTAAAATCCATGAATTATTAACAACAGGGAAATATAAAACATTCAAGCTTGCTAAGTGCAGGCTGTCTGTCGGAGTAAAAATGGAGTTCAGCAGAGGTGGCGGGGTACTGTACCACTGCAGATGCCTGTGTCCTTACCTAATCCCCTGATATGTCAACCAGAGCTTGTGATATGACTCACAGTTTTCTACACTCCTACTTATTTTTGTTGTGTGTACAGGTCTGGATTTATTTTGTGTTGTAAGACCTTTTTTGTGTCAGTAGTTTTAGAGAAGTCACTCTTCCTGACCACCTGATCATTATTTTGTCTTTACATAATGGGTGAAAGTCCCTATCACTGCTCTTTAACGTTGGGGAAGACCCCTGTGTCTTAAATTAGCACAATTTGGCTTTGACAGATTTCGGAATGCCACAAACTTTTTTTTTAAGGTTAAGAAATGTGTTTCCATAAAAACTACATTTTTACTATAAACCAATTTTCAAGTCCAGACATGAAACAGTAACACTGCAACTGGTGAATTTACCCACTGGATTGTCTTAAAAATACCCTGTCAATTCATACATATCAGAAAATAACCTATTTTTATCCTATTCTCTGTTGTTTTCTGGCAATGCATACTTTTGGTTTTACTTAACCAGGTTTTGAGATATAAATCACACCACCAAGGAGATAGGTATCTCACAACCTGGGCATGTGAAACCAAAACTCTCAGCATGACTAGAAACCATTTCAGTGTTTTTCTTTACTCATTTTTGTAGTTTGTGTGAATCACCCCCATAAAACAAGCATGTTTCTGAAAGTTTGGGGGATATGTGGCTTTCACAGAAAACAACGCTGTGACAACATTGCAGTCATTTTCCTTTGACTTTAGGGTCCTTTAATCATTCTTTCATTTCATGCTTACATGTTCCCTAATTTGTTGTACAAATGGTATAGCACTTTATACAAAAGGACTAAAATAGGAACACCATTTTTCATACTTCTTCCTCCTTTTGTTTTATTCTATCTTTGTGACCCAAATACTGAAGAAAAAATAAGGATATCAGAAATGGAGAAGGAACGTTGTGATGGGATTTTACATCGTCTAGAAAAGTGAAAGAGGACATAAGAGTGAAACTATAGACCATGCTTTCTGCAGAAATCAAACATTTCCTTTCAAACCCATGACCTAGGAGGGCATATTATGTTGTGTTAGATGTTAGATCTATTAAAGGTCCAGTGTGTAACATTTAGGAGGCTCTATTGTAAATAATTCAATTCATTTCAATTTTATTTGTATATGGCGCCAATTCATAACAGAAGTTATCTCAGGACCACTTTTCAAATTAGAGGCAGGTAGTGTAGCCGACAAGACTCTTTGTAATACATCTATTTACAGAGAACCCAACGTACCACCATGAGCAAGCACTTGGGCGACAAAGGGGCAAGGAAAAACTTGTCGCTGTTTAAACAGGCAGAACCTCAGGGTTAGGGACAGATCCTTCGGTTATGGGATGTAATATTCATAGGTATGTTTTCATTAGTGTATAATCACCTACCTTTACACAAATTGTACAGAATGTGCAATATAAGTGTAAATGTCTATGTGCTGCTGGTGCTGACAACTAGATATAATGAGGAAATGAATATCTGAATCCTAGAGATAAAGTTGTTAATACAGATTTTTTTCACACCACAAATGTCATAAGAGTGTAACTACCACGCAAAGTGCAGTGGAAAGAAATGAAATCATTTCTTTCCGAGCATACACACATTTGATTTGGAGCTGTAGATGCTAAAGGTGTTAACCACTGATGCACACAAATAACATACGGAATCTGATGTCACAAACATCCCCAAAACCACACTTTGTGTTGCCAATGAAATATCTAAACTTAAAAGTTTGTGTAAAAAGAGAGCGGCTATAACAATATACCAAAATAAAGAGATTTAATGTGTCATTCCTTTTTCTTTATTAAAATATAATATTGTCAATTCAATTCAATTCAATTTTATTTAGTATGCATCAATTCATAACAGAAGTTATCTCAGGACACTTTTCAAATAGAGCAGGTCTAGACCGAACTCCTTATAACATTTACAGAGACCCAACAGTACC